TGAGGAAATATTTATATTTTTTAAGGTCACTAAGCAGGTATAAAAGCTAATTGAACGTATGGATACTTCATACTTGCTAACCTCGGATAGGAGTCCAAGTTAGCATTACTAACGTACATATACTTCGAATGATGCAAAGAATAACAAATACACAAAGAAATCATCTCGAAACCAATGATTTAATGTGAGAAATAAAGGAAACTCACATCCCTCCCGAACCCCAATCCAACTATCCACGAATGGCCCTCTCATATTCAGGGTATGTTTGGCACAACTAGCTGAAAAGATACTTTTGTGAGCTTTTTAGTAACCGTTAGCTTTTAGTTACTGAAAAGATCTTAAAAAGAAAAGGTGATAGCTGTTTGGTAAAAAGCTGACTGTTTGATTTAGTTCGGTTTGGTATACAAGTTGTTAGGAATAATTAATACTAAAAGTCACGAGCTTTTCTCAGATGCTACACCCGGTAGCATCTCAAAAAAGATCTTTTAATTTTTGAAAAGCTCTTAAAAAATGTCATGTCAAACATACAAGTAGACTCTTTTAAGATCTTTTTAAAGAAAAGAGAAGCTAGAAGGCAGAGGCTTTTGTGTGCCAAACATGACCTCAACCGTGTAGGATTTACACGTTTCTGATCCGGTTCTGTCTGAATCATAAAATCATTTCAACTTGGTTTGGTTTGATTTGCATTATATAACTACAAGTCTACAAGTCATACATACATAGCATTTCATAAACAAAAAGATTGGTAAAGCGAAGCTGTGTTTGAATAGTTTTTCAAGGGTTATACTCAAATGCGTTAGAAACTCATCTCAACATTATCTTAAATATACTTGAAAACTGTCCCTAACCTACATAAAAAATGTCATTTAAGTCCTCGTACAATAAAATCACATAATTGAATCCTTGAAATAGCAAAACACACCCAATTGAGCTTTCTAGCCAGTCACCTCTCGGTCAGTTCATTGAAATGTATTTCCATGTTGTAATTTTATTTCTTTTATAGAAACGGGCTCTTATCGAGGCGGAAATTTACCGCACAAAATTTCCAATAGATGAAGAAATCTGTCGTAAATTAATGGAATGCAAGAAAGTTCTGGCGGTCATGCCTTGGACTCTTGGAGGAAGAGCAGAACTCTCCTCTCCTCACCCAGCTTTGTGTAGGGGTGAGCGCGGTCCGGTCCAATATTTTGCCGAACCCGTATCCGTACCGTGTCTATTGAAACGGTTTGGTTCGGTACGATTCCATTTTCAAACGGGACAACACCACGCCGTACCAATAATAAACAATGTCAGTTTTTCCAAGTGTTTAAGGGAAAATTAAAGTTTAATCATCCTTCAAAAATCCACACAATTTATCAAATTTCATACTCCGTATTACATACTACCTCCATCCGAAATTGATTTGCAAAGTCAACATTTTTTGGTCAAACAGTTCCTTTTTATTCACTTAATTAGGATATCACTTTTTAATACTCCGTATCACAATTTTGCTATGGTAGCTTTTTCATCAAATCGACTCATCATATCTCCAATTTTCTGTTTCTATTTTTTAGTTTTCCATTTTCAAATCTGAAAACATGTTCATCAATTTTTTCACTCAGTTCTCCAATTCCACACCCTTGACCCCTACCCTTACCACGATCTTACACTCTACCCATACTCCCCAACAACCCTTCATACCCACCCATACCTACTCGTAGGGGTCGGGGTAGGGAAGTTATGGGTGGGGATGGGGTAAGGGGTATGGTCGGGGTGGGGTGGTAAGGTCTAGGGGTAGGGGGTTGGGTGGGGGTAGTGGGTGGGTTAGGGTCGTGGTTAGGGGTAAGGGTGGGGTAGTGGGTAGGGTTTGGGGTAAGGTAGAGGTAGGGTATGAAGTTGGGATAGGATGGCGGTAGGGTGGGGTCAGGACCAGGATGGGGCTGAGGTAGGGAAGGGGTAGGGCCGTAGGGGTGGGGGGGTAGGATGGCGGTAAGGGTGGGGGTAGTGGGTAGGGTTGGGGTTGGGGTTGGGGTTGGGGTAAGGTAGGGGTAGTGGGATAGGATGGCGGTAGGGTGGGCCTGGAATCTAGGTGGGGCCGAGGTAGGGGAAGGGTGGGGTGGGGGGGTAGGATGGTGGTAGGATGGCGGTACGAGGGTAAGGGTAGGATGGCGGTGGGGTGGGGCCGAGGTAGGGGCATGTGGTAAGGGGTAAGGGGTAATATACGGGTGGGGGTAGGGTAGGGTGGGTCGGGGTGGGGCCGAGGTAGGGGCATGTGGTAGGGGATGGGGTAGGGTCATTATAGGGAAAAATGGGTATGCGGGGTGGGGTTGGGTGAGGGTAGGGTAGGGTAGTGGTAAGGGGTAAGGTACGAGGATGGAGGTACCAGAATGGAATCGACATTGGAGCGGGACCGGACCCACTACTAGGTGTAAGTATGCAAATTCATTGCAGCGGCACTGTAGCATCTGCGTTTTCAAATTTGGAAAACTAGTAAAAGTCACTTCTCCAAATCATTAAGGAAAAGAGAGACATGTCTCATTTTTTTCGTTTTGGAAAACGATTTGGTAAACGCGTTTTTCTTTTTTCCTTTCTCCAGTTTTCCAGGAATTTCTTTGGTAAACACGTTTCCTGTTTTTTGTTTTCCAGTTTTCCAGTTTTCTGGAAAACTAGAAAATATCTCTGTTAGTAAACAGGCCCTTAACTTTGCACATCAAATTGGGACGGTTGAATTAATTAATAAATTTCAGAGAAACTATACTAGTACAAATTTAAATAATTAAACCATACTTTGTCTGGTTCAATCCGATACTGGTTCTCATTTTATGAGAACCCACCATGGCATTGTTTGGAACCGGTACGGTCTGGTTCTGAACAAAAAAAATTCAAGATCCATTTCAAACCTCGTTCATCGGTCAGGTACCATACTGGTCCGATTCGGTATTTTTGTCTACCCCTAGCTGTACCAGCTGTGTGCTTCCGCTTGCTCTAATGTTCTCCGGCAATTTTCCAATTCAGATGGATTGTTTTCACGAGTTTTGTTGATTGCAGAAATTCTTTTTATTTTTTAAGTACATAGTAAAAAATACTCCGTAGTCCATAGAAGTGATAGAACCAGATCTGATTCGTTTTTTCTTGCATACGAGAAGAAGATATCGTTTATTCGTTGTATGTTCATGTTTTTAGCAAAGATAGAAATTCGAAGAGAGACTGAACGAGAAGAAGAAATCGAAAGCATCACCTTGACTCGCTTCCTAGCAAAAACTTCCTTCCATCTCTGAGGAATACGAAGAACATTCTAAAAAAAGATGTAGCAAAAAGATACAAATTTAAAAAATGAGTAAACCTAAGTTTGAGATTCGCACCCAATCTTAGGCTCTGTTTGCAAGTGATTGTGCTGAAATAAAAGCACTTTTTGGGAAAAAGTGATTAGTAGTAAAAATTGATAGTGTTTGATAAAATAAGTGCTTTTTGTATAATAGAAAAAGTAAAAAGTAGATTCTACACGAAAACCGAGAAAGTAAAAGTTGATATTGTTTGATAAAATAAGTGCTTTTTTCTTAAAAAAAAAAGCCAAAAACACTTAAATTAATTGTTTGCAAACAAAATCTTATTCAACTAAAGCAGGAAATAAGCAATTCAGAAAATAGTTTGTGCCTTTGTGGTAACAAAAAAGCACAGTAAAAAACAAAGAGGGGGAAGAAGATGATTGATTGGTTGAAGAAGATAGAAGGTGATCAAGGGGTGGTATGCTCAAACACAAAATTTGAGGATTATGTGACTGTGGGTACTGTATCCTCCATGCTCTTTGAGGAGGATTTATTCTTGAATGGCTATTTATCTTCTTCTATTAGTCCCCTTGATACCGAATGCTTTAATAGAGAGATTGTTACTTTGAGGGAAGAATGTCCTAAGGATGTGCCTAGGGAAGCGGAGGAGGATATTGTGGGGGAAGTTATGCATGCTACACCTATTCAAGTTTCACTCCCTATGCAGATTGAGCATAGAGCAATCAAAGGTGTTTCTCAATCTGATTCAGACGATGCTTCTGATGGCTCTTCGGGTTATGATTCAGATAAAGAGTTGCTTGCTCGTTTAAGTGATCCTAATTACAAAACAGCAACTCAAATTGAGCTCAGACGAAGTGCTCGCCTTCAGGCTAAAAATCAGGGATGCTAAAGAATTTGTGATGCCTTTTATGCACGCTTTGGGATTTTTTTGGGGGTCAAGTTAATTGGGTGCTAAGACAAGAAATGGTGTGCAGGGGTGCAATTAGCATGGGTGAGCAAAGCTGAAATTTATTGACTAGGGATTGAGATTCACACAATTTTAATTTGGAGGATGGCCTTAGTTTTTCTCTAAATAGCTTTAAATTCTCTTCCCTCATTAGCGATTGTACTTTTTTATTTTCATTAATAAAATGTTTCTTTTCAAAAAAAAAAAAAAGATAGAAGGAAGCGAAAGATAGCACGGTAAACTTTCCCAAAAAATAACACCACCTCAACATCCACCTAAGCAATCAACCGGCTAACTTATTAGTGACCAGATAAAAAACTATATTGGGTGTGTTTTTATAGTTTAGGTAATTAACATTTTTTTTATAGTGTAAAGACTTATTTGTAAAGACTTATTTGACAGTTTTCTCTAAATACTTCAAATTTCTCCAACTAAAAATTCTCAACTAGCATTGGAACAGGCACTGAATTTTATGCGACTTTTGCACTCCAACTTCATTCTGACTTGAAAGGCCGTATGTCGAGTATGCTAGTTACATAACTATTAGATCATTAGAACTATAAGGATAAATATCAAATGAGCAAAAAATCTAAACAAGTGACAACTACTGAATACCCGACTCCGTACAACCAAGCATAAATGATTTTCTATTCCTCATTTATCAAAAGCACATTTCTAAACAAAATGACCTCAAGCACACGACAATATTGGGGTGGACATCCTTCCCAATTCAGATTCAAAAGCACATTTTTAAACAAAATGACCTCAAGCACACGACAATATTGGGGTGGACATCCTTCCCGATTTAGATTTTAGATCGGAAGTTGTGGTTCTGGAATCGGACGTGGAACTAACTGATCGGGGGAAAAGTAGGAATCAACTGTTCTATAATCAATTAACCACAATGCATGAATTAATGGAAAGGGAAGCCAGAGCACAATTCAATATTGTACATGATAATGTATAGTTAAAACTTAAAACTACGAATAGATATGCGTACCTACCTACAAGAACACGCTTAATTCTGAAATCACCACTAATCTTCTTCCTCATCAAGATCTTCGTAATCATACAATTCACCATCATCAACGCTACACATATCATCTTCAAGAAACAGATCCCCATCACCTGACAAGTCACGGCAATCCAAACCCTCTCCATTATGAGAAGATATATCATCTCCGCTTTCATCAGAGGAAGATTCGCTCTCAGCTTCTGACTGGTCTTCATTTGAGGATTGAGTTCCACTTTCATCCTCTTCCCCAGATGAGTTTTCTTCAGGGTAATCATTCCGTGGGTTGTTTTCATCTGAGATATACAAATACGTAATGATATTAACCCCACATATGAGAGCTTCAAATGGCATAATTTGCAAATAAAAAAAGTTGATATGATAAGAGATACCGTTAGAATCGTCAGTTTCATATTCTGGATCATCTGGACCGTCGTGGAAGTCATCCTCATCATCAACTCGAACCCTGTAAAATCAAATGCACTGTTTTATATAAATAGTATGATGAGAAACTAGGGGTTTAAGTTACGAATACAGCAGCAAGTTCTTACAGAGGAAAATGGTTAGTGGTTTCTTCTTCCATGGTGTCAACACCATCCTTTATGGCATAGAAATCATAGACATACTCATCTGAAGATGCTGCACAAAGACAAAAAATTCAGCGAATATTGATAAACATTTTTTTTTATATAAAATAGATATCACTGAAAAAAACAGACGCAATACATTAAAAACAACCATGCCACAATCACTAATCAATTACCTACAATTAACTGAAAATATTGAACATCCCACATCAATTGTATAATGTGGATTGGGAATAGTATATAAATACAGAGTATAAGCCTAATAAGGTAAACCTTATATTCTAAAGAACCTTTTGGGTAACATAATTTAACATGGTTTGGTCCAGTGGTGGTTTGTGGGGATTCACACACTTAATAGAATAATAACTTGAGGCAGTTCTTTGGGGGATTGGCTTGGGTCAATTAGTCTACCCCTTAAGTTATCCAGTCCTATTTAGGTATTTAGGTTCAACTGTTCAGGGGGGTCTTGACTCTTGAGCATCCTACATTACTGAAGTATTCATGTCATTTTCATATCTGTATGGAACTTCAAAGATGCTTTTGGGATTAAGGCTTGGATGTTGTTGTATGGAACTTAAGATAGAGATTGACATCTAAAAGCCCCCATAAGAAGCAAGAATGTAACTTATGGAAAGTCTGATAGATACCAGGATCGAAGGAGGGAAATTGTTGTTGATTATGAACGTAATTGATGAACAGGAATGAAACGATACAGGTTTAGGCACTTCGAGCAGCCTATCTCTCCCAGAATTCCCAGCCCAAGTCTAAAATTCTGCCTACCCCTTTCCTCCCTTCCTTCCATCTCTTATAGTACTCTATTCTAACGGGTCAGCCCATATTATATGACATGGCCCAGAATACTTATTTATACAATACCAAACTTATTCAATATCAATCTATCACTATTATTATCATTATTCTGGACAGCCCAGGGCCCTATCATATCTCCCCCCTTGACAACCACCTTGTCCTCAAGGTGGGCGATAGGACACAACCTTGATCTTCTTGATCTTGAACTTCCTCTTCATCCTGGAGCCTCTTCCTTCCCAATATATTGTTGATTTTTGTATCCCTATCTTCAGCACTTGACCCTTAATCCTCACTTCTTCAGACCAACATTTCTCTACGGTCTTCTCAGCCTTTTCATAGAGCTCATTGTTGTCTTGAATCTGGAATTTAGCAGTCTTGTCTAAAGGAGTGTTTGGGATTGCTTTAAAAAAGCGCTTTTTAGCTTTTGGCTTAAAAAAAGTTGAAAAGAGTGTTTTCAAATGACAGCTTCTGCTTAAATTAATCACTTAAAAGCTAAAAGCTGGAAGCAGGTAAAAGGGTGCTTTAAACTGCTTCTCACTTTTTCTATTACACAAAAAGTACTTATTTTACCAAACACTACCGACTTTTACTTTTTCAGAATCACTTTTTTCTCAAACACTACCAACTTTTACTATTAATCACTTTTCCCAAAATCACTTTAAAAAATCACTTTTTTAAAGTTGAAGCAATTGCAAACACTCCCTAATCCTTCATAAGAGTCAACCATCTGCACACATAACTTGACCCCACTATTCAACCCAACTTCTTTGTCCCCTTTGCCTATTTTCAGAATGTTCTCCAGCCCTTCAAGGTATGCAGTAACAATTCTTGGATCTTGGCATAACAAGTGATCAGAGAGCATCTTAATGCAGCCGTTACTTATCAAGCACATATTCTGATTATGAGAGCCTGCAGGTTTTTCATAACAAGATATAGCCCCTGCAGCTTCTTCCTTGCTGTAAACTTCTTTATGAAGGAGGTGTACTAAAGGAATAGTGATAGGTGACGCAATAATTGCATTTATAATATTTCTACTCCCAGCAGTGATATTAGGTATTGTCCAGCAAACTTGAGTCCAGACTTCTTCTTTCATAGGGACGAATGGCTGATAAACTGGCAATACACCTTTGAAAAGGGTAAATGGAGTTGGTGTCCTGCATCGCCATGAGTTTGATAAAATCCCAGTAGAATTTATCAACATAAAAAGCTCTGAATGCTCATTTGACGGAACTAGCAATGGTAGGATTGCACCATGACCAAGACCTTGATCGCTACAACCAGGGTCATCACAAGAAACCTTTCCTAAAGCCCAGGTAGCCTGCTCACGAAACTTATCACTTGGAGGGCTGCGTTCAATCAAAAACAGCTTTCTTAATGGTGTCGTTGCTTTAATTCTTGCAAATGGGTCTTCTGTAGCTTCAGCAACTGTCCCTTCAAGCACATTAGGCTTTGAAAGTGAGCTGGCATCGGTCACCAAACTATCAAACCCTGTAGAAACAACCTTAGAACCTTCACCATTAGGAACTCCAGAAACAACCTGCTCCGGTTTTAGCAACACAGTTGTAGGTGGTAATACACAGTTGTCAGCAACTTTCAGATGTTCAGAATAATAACCTTGATCATAGCTCAAACTATCAAACCCTGCAGAGAACTTATTTTGGTTTTGCATTTCAATTTTGTCCTCCTTGTTCTCAGACTTGGATTCATTCTCTTCTATTTCCTCAGTCTCCTCTATACAAACAGTCCTGGTAGAGCTTTCCCAAGTATTTGAACCAACCATTTTAACAAGGGCAGATTCATATTCCATGGTAATGGACTGAATCACCACAGAAGTTTTATCCTCACGTTCCTCATCACCTTTGATGAATGTATCCTCAGGTGATTCCTTAAGGTACGGTGAAACTTGCGCCATATGAAACTCTGATTGGGCTGAAATCTGCGAACCGGGAGGTTCATATCTCGATTGCGTCTTCATTAAATTGGTTGCCGAAGCCTGCGAACTGACAGATGTTGTTGGCGATAATTGTCCCTGGCATTCATTGTCACTCTCGTTGAACTTAGATGCGTCTTCTCTGACTCCCTTTGAACTCATCTCCTCAAGAGTTTGCCGTTGACTCACATACTTATGAGGAAACGATGCAACTGATTGCGAACTGCGAGAAGACACCTGAGAACTAGAAGAAGTAGTTTCTCGGGATTTATAAAAAACCTGTGCAGTTATCAATGATCTGGAACTGAAGGAAGTTGTTGGCGAAGACTTCTGTGAACTGATAGAAGTTCTCGTCGATGATTCCTGATTCTCATTCTCTGTCCTCTGACTGCGTATAGGTTGGAAACGCAGCTTTATGGTTTCCTTCAGAGCCTTCCAACTCTTTTCAGTCGTTTGAGTATACCACCATGGAAACCAGGCTAATGCTCTTTCCTCCATCACACCTTCTGCTACTACCACCTTATTTTTTTCAGCAGTAGCCTTGAGACGGAAATATTTTTCCATCTTAACAATCCAACTGCCCGCATCATCCCCCTTAAACCGTGGTAATTCAACCTTTCTTCCAGTATGAACAGGTCTTCTACAACTGTAGCGACCTCCACTTGAACCAGAATGATCGGAATTGGGCGATGCAAGCTGCAGGGATGAGAAGTGCGACGCGAACTGGTTGAGCGATCGATTCCTGATAGGAATCTGGGTTTAGTAGGTATTAATAAGAAATAATAATAATATTAGTAAGGGTACTTGTAGTAGTATATTTAGAAGAGAAGGGGTTAATAGTAATATTTGGCATATCCTTATGTGGATATTGGCTATAAATAGAAGGGGGAATAGCTATTATAGGGAGACTGTTAATTTGATTTGAGAGTTGCCTTGTTGCCTAAGAGTCCCGACCTTGTTGCCTACGGATTACCTTATTATCAATAAACATCCTTTTCTTCCCCTGTTTATCCAGATCTGTGTTGCTTGTTACTACTTTTGCTAGGATTATTTCCAGGTTCCTATCATTGGTATCAGAGCAATAGCTCCTGGGAATCAGACTTGAAGTGCGACTACTGCAGAGCATCAGCTCCTGGGATCAGAAATCGTTGGGCGACGTCAGCAGAGCACTCGCTCCTGGGGTCTTAATCGATCGACACATCTCTATCGCGGAAGAGGACAATTGATTGTCGCGATGTTGAGATCTGAACGAACCAAGATTATCGCTGAGCAGACCAGAGAACAAAGACGATCAGGACTGGACGCCTTTGGTTCGCACGGACATCTGGAGAAACGTTCGAAGCTGGAGAAGCGTTCGAACATGGAGGTGAAGTCCGAGATGGAGAAATCGACGGGAAAGGTTATGATGAAGTCGACGATACTGCAGGAGTCCATCGCGAAGGTGAACAGTAACCAACATCGACAGAGGAATCAATCGTTCACAACTCGCACCTCACAGCACTCTTCACATCGCACTTCGCATCTCTCAGTTGCTGGAAATCCTTCTCTCGCGTTCATAAAGGCTGAACTACCGTTGTTTAACGGGGATGGGGATGATGTAGGCAGTTGGAGTGTGAAGATGGAAGAATACTTTCGTATCAAATCTACTGCGGAAAAACTTAAGGTTGAAGTAGCATCAGAGGCTATGGAGGATGATGCGTTTTACTGGTTTAAAGGGTGGGAATTTCGAAAGAGAGGAGAGAGTTGGGAAGTTCTGAAGGACATTAAGCGGCGTTTCCCACAACGCAGTCGGAAGTCAGAGAACCAGAAGTCGCGATCGCCAAGGAATTCTCCCAGTTCACAATCATGGACTGTTTCTCCGCAGATGTCATCGAAGACAGCTTCATCGCGAACAGTAGTTTCCAGCTCTCTGGTGTGGTTGCCAGAGGATTCATGCAGGGCGAAAACATCCTCGTTCTGGCAGGAATCATCATCTTCCAATGAAACGGCACTTGTCGAATCAGGGAATAGAATGCTGGAAAATCCACAGTTGATGCTGAACAACAAGTTGAGGCCAGCTGAACATGTTATTAAGGAACCGGACCCGGAGGACAAACATGAGGAGCATCAGCCAAACACCAAGGTTTCTGGAATGCATAGTATGAGGCTGTGTGGAGTTAATGTCAATCATAGCTCAACAGGGGAAGGGGGAAAAGGCGTTAATGTCAGTCAGGTTGAGGAGAATGCCAAAACATTGTCATGTTCAACAGTTCTCAGCTATAGGGACCACTCGGAATCAGAAAATGGACCACCGGAAATTCACCCACCTACTCTGACCCCTGAGCTGAAGCCGGTTACACCATCAGTTACAGAATCAGATCGGGAAGAGGAAGTGAATCAACCTGCAGGATTTTCATCAGACAATAGGGAAGGTTTAGAAGGGGGTAAAGCACATATCCTTACCCATGATGATATGTGGTATGCTAGTACACTGGACTTAAACCCAGGAGATTTTAAAACTTTGATTGAAGTAGTTCAGAAATCTGGATTGAATGTTTTGAAGAACATTGTGTTTCATCATTCATCAAACACTAAGTTGGAAGAATTGAGCAAGTTTGATAGTTTGAGTTATGATAAAGGCTATGATTTTGATCATTTGAAAGTAGTCAACAATGGTTTTGCTGAAAAGATAATGAACCCATATACTAGCTACTCTTGGTTAATGTGTCTTCCTAACCCCATCAAGGAGATGCGTGAATCCTTTCTCGAAACTTCTGCAGCTGTTGGCATGGTGCAGACAGTTTACTTGTGTAGGGGAGATATGAAATCTCCCAAGTTTGTTGTTAAGGATGGACTTCCTGCTTATTTTGATTGTGGAATGATGATAGAATGGAATAAGATCCATCACTGTGAAGAGATTATTGCTGCAGCATATAAGGTCTATGAAAGCAGGGATAGGGAAGAGCTAACCAAATTCATATCAGTCAAAAACGATGCTAAAGCTGACCTTGTAAAATTAAGTAGAGGTGCTTTGTGGTGGCTAATTTCTGTGCAGAGGGTGATTATCTTTCAGAATTTCTATTTGCTAAAAGTGGGGGACAAGGATATATTGCTGGGAAGGGGTGACAGTGCTCTACAACTTGCTAACAGCAGGTTTAGTGAGAAGAGGGTTGTGGATATTGAAGATCAGGACCAAGCTATTGTGGTTGAAGGTGTTGTACTATTTTGGGATGCTTTCGCAAGGCAATTGGGGAAGAATGACTTAGAGAGGAGTGCAATTGAAGGATCATTCTTCATTCGCTCAATTGGCAAACCTGGGACGACCGTTCAGGATTTCAGCTTGATAATAGCTTCAATGTGGGACTCCTCTAATGCTGAAATGAGATGGGCGGATGAGTGGGGTCACATATACTATCTAGGTAGAATCAGAGTGGGCCTGAACTCTACTACTCAGGCTGTGGTAGTTGATGTCTTTAACAGAGAGCATCTCAGGGATTTATTTTTAAAGCCAGAAAATGTTAATGGTATCATAATTGATGGAAGGTGGCTGGATGAACTGCCCAGCCTTTATGGAGCTGTTCAACGAGCAAGCTATTCCTATAATTCTCCTATGATGCAGTCCAAACAGGAGATTGATTTACGGGATACACAATTAAAAGTGGGTGGCTTGCTTGGGGACCTCTTGGTTATGCTCAAAATTGTAGTCAATAAGGTTTGTCAACAGTTGGCTAGGGAATTCTTAAAGAGGTGGATTGATAAAAAATTTGAAGTTGGTATGGGTGTTCTTATAGGGGTTCAAACTGGTTTGTTCTGTGATCCATTTAGAGATGCAACTCATAGCATGTATGCCTTAGAACCTTTACTTGAAGAGATTGGTTACAAGGAAGAGGCTTCAAGTGTAATCCCATGGAATTCTTATATGCAGTTTATGCCTCTGGTTGCTGTGAAAGATGAGAAGATGAAAGGTCAAGTAATGAAGGTCATGGGCAAGCAAGCTGGGAGGTATTGGGAAGGGAGAGGTGCAAGAATGAAGCGGAAGTGGAAGATTATGGCTGATTCCTATCACCCACCTTGAGGACAAGGTGGTTGTTTAGGGGGGGAGTAATGATAGGAATCTGGGTTTAGTAGGTATTAATAAGAAATAATAATAATATTAGTAAGGGTACTTGTAGTAGTATATTTAGAAGAGAAGGGGTTAATAGTAATATTTGGCATATCCTTATGTGGATATTGGCTATAAATAGAAGGGGGAATAGCTATTATAGGGAGACTGTTAATTTGATTTGAGAGTTGCCTTGTTGCCTAAGAGTCCCGACCTTGTTGCCTACGGATTACCTTATTATCAATAAACATCCTTTTCTTCCCCTGTTTATCCAGATCTGTGTTGCTTGTTACTACTTTTGCTAGGATTATTTCCAGGTTCCTATCAATTCCTCGATCGATTTTCGTTACTGTTCATCACCGCGATTGTTTCCTCTAGTGTCGCCAAGTTCATCGCAACTTTTTCCACCAAGGTAGGGTTCCGCTCTATGGTTTCCCTTCTGTAGTTCTGTTCTCCAAGTTTCGATCTCGTCCAGACCTTCCACAACTGAAACGGAGATGGAACGAAAAAATTTCTGATGTTGCGTAACTATTCCAATCACCAGAAACGAACGTATGCTCTGATACCAATGATAGATACCAGGATCGAAGGAGGGAAATTGTTGTTGATTATGAACGTAATTGATCAACAGGAATGAAACGATACAGGTTTAGGCACTTCGAGCAGCCTATCTCTCCCAGAATTCCCAGCCCAAGTCTAAAATTCTACCTACCCCTTTCCTCCCTTCCTTCCATCTCTTATAGTACACTATTCTAACGGGTCAGTCCATATTATATGACATGGCCCAGAATACTTATTTATACAATACCAAACTTATTCAATATCAATCTATCACTATTATTATCATTATTCTCTACAGCCCAGGGCCCTATCAAAGTCTCAAAACCCCAACAAAGAAAATAGGGAAAACCTCTTTTGGAGATATAGTCGTGCATATCAGACTCAATTTCCTCAGCAGCACTTGGCATGCATTCTCTTAAAAGCGGCAAATATTGTGACATCATTCTATGATCTTCCAACTCCTCATCTCTGCATGGTGCACATGCAAACAGGCACAATCTAGGTTGTAATTCTCCTTCGAAAAAAACATACTCCCTATAATGAAGCATAGACTAAAATAACAGCTTTGTCCATCAAGAAATGAAACATACCCTTCAGGGAATTTATGAGGATTTTCATGTGTATCAACACGAACAACATTATACAGTCGGCACACCTCATTGAGTGCATCATCGTGCATATAATCCTTTCCTCGCCTGCTTTTCCATATTTGCTCAAAACGAGCATTTTTTGACAAATCCTGGAAGTATGATATACAACAATAATTGCAAATTTATAGACCTCTTATTTATGCAACTATATGGGGGGCAAAGGTATTAATCATCTGACTGCTTATAAACTCATAGAAGGGTTTGAGTTTTACCACTTGTTTTTGTTTAGCTTTTGTAAGAAGTTGTCCTTGCCTTTGCACATGCTACATAAAAAATGCCACCAAACAACAAACACCATTAAACTTAACCCATCACAATATTTTCACATATAGACAATGGAATAAATCTCGGATTTTTTACAAGAATATTACTAAAATAAAACTTATTTACATAAATATGACTATTCATTACTACAACGTAGTGTTGTGGTAACTTAAGTTCAAAACATGAACATGAATTACTATTATTTCATTACTACTCTAGTAACTAGTCATATTTTTGTAAACCATCTTTATTTTGGTCATATTTATGTAATTATTTCATAAATCTCAGTAGACTTACATTGTCAGCCTTGAATGTGTGTCTTTTTCCCTCAATTTTCTCTTTGACTATTGAAGAACTAGTCGAGTCACACTGTTAAGAATACAAAATCATCACATAACTCATAGCATGATTGATACAATATGTTTTAACCAAATGAAGAAGATAACAGAGTTAACTAAAAAACAACTTCTACCCACAAGAAAGAAAAATAATGGGAAACTGATGACTAAATCATAAAACGGACAATAAAATACTAACCACAAAAGACAGCACAAGATCAGCAGTGACTTCTGAGCTAATCACAGTCTCAACATGTTGAACAAAAACTTTTTTTGTCTTCAATTCCTCTACACAATTGGGAACACATGGTTTCAAAACACACAAAGACAAAACTATATAGATACAGTCATACAGACGTATACATATCGCAATTTGAAGAATTGACACACCTTTGCAAGAACTGGAATCAGAAACTGATAGCTTCTCAAAGTCAATCAATGGCCGCTTGAATGGTCTCTCATTGATTTCAAGCCCTTAAATCACCAAAGATGCAATGCAATTATATAACAAATGCTTTCTTCATCACAGATAAATGACCATAGAGGGGAAAAACCATTTCACCCTAACAAGAACTCACAGAAAGCATCGAGACGAGACTGTGTTGCCTTTCTCTTAACCCTAACAATCACCGGCTTGACATCACCCTTCGGAGTCTCCACCGTAGCTGCCATTACTGAGGGTTTCGCTAGCATACACAAAACTGAATGAAATTAATTGCATTGTGTAATGACGGGATATTGAGGGTGATATCCAGAGTTAGGGTTAAATTTGTATAATAATCGTATGACAATATATGTGAGTTCTTGTATTTTTTATATACAATATAAAAAATTAGCAATATTGAAGAAATAATTAGTAACACAAACCCTCAGTAATGTGACTTTCTGTAATTATTATACAATATATATCTAAATTCACAACTTTTTATTATCTTTCATATGACACCAATATTGAATATATACAAATTAAAAAATAATTTAACTCTTTAAAAAAATATTCTTTAAAGTGTTACTCATATTTTTTATTTGCACTCCAATTATTTTTTAAAAAATATATCAAAGTTCATGACTTTTTATTATGTCTCGTATGACACTAATATTTCATAGGTAAAAATACATAAATAATTTAAAACTTTAAAAAGATCCATTTTTACAGTGTTATACGGAGTAGCTTTTTTGTACTCCGATTGTCTAAAAAATACCAGGACTCATAACTTGTTATTATATTTTATATGCCACCAATATTTCATATAAAAAAATTCATAATTTAGCACTTCAAGGAACTTCAATTCTTTAAAGTGTTATTATTGTTACAAATAATATACCAATGCTCGTAACTAACCTTTTATTACATTTCATATGAAATTAATATTGTATGCTAAAAAGTTATTTTTAACATATGAGGTTCGTGGGAAATCTTTTAAAAAATTGTAATATTTAACAGATAAAGTACAATAAGAGTGTTTGGAAAGTGACATTTCAGTCAAAAAATGGTGTTTGATTCGCCTTTTGAGGTTTTCAATAAGTGAAAATAATGTATGGGTTAGCGCTTTGGAATATGGCATTTTGTACTAATTGTTATGTTCAAACAACTACATTACCAAATCACCAACTTAATAAAAAGTTTTGAATTTTGATATACCTGATATATTTTTACACTATTGGAGTACAAAAACAGGTATAACACTCTAAAAATTAACTTTTTTTAAAGTGCTAAATAGTTTTTATTTTTATCTATAAAATATTAGTGTCAGATGAAGAATAATAAAAAGTTATAATATTTTATATATTTTAAAAACAATCACAGTACAAATAAAAAAATTATAACAGATTTTTTTAAATGCTAAATTATATTTTAATTTTTACCTATGCAATATGGGTGTCATATGAATGATAGAAAAATTATGAATATTGAGATATTTTTTGAAACAATCAGAGTACGAATTAAAAAGTTATAGAACTTTTTAAAAAAATGAGATTTTTAATTTCATTGGGTCCCACTCATGCTCCTCACGTTGCTTTCCTCTTTGTGATGCGCTTGTCATGCGGCGTATCTTCAGTTAAGTACTAGTATTTTGTTAACCACGGTTTACTCAACATTACTTTGGGAAATAGTTTTAACTTAACATTACTTTCGTATATATTTTTTTATTCCACATTATTTTGGAGAACAACTCTTCATCATCATCATCATCACCATTACCCCAATTTCGCAAAGGCTCCCACCTACGGAGGGTGGGGGGTCGGATGTACCTGTAAAATATAATCTTTCTGTATTCCATTAATAAAATATATTTTATGTATTTTTTCATAAATAAATAGATTCAACCAATTCAACAACTTCCTCCATAATTCCAACAGATTCTTGTTCAACCAATTTTCGGTATTATCAAATGGGATTTTACTAGATTCTCATATATGCCACCAAAACAAACAATCTTTAATTATGCATTATTACCATTTAATTATAAGAACTGCATAAACAATATATTATAGCTTTATAAGAACTTTGTGAAGCATTACATAAACTATTTAAGAAACCATACTTACATCTATCAACAAACATAATACTTCTTATTAGGAAAATCACATTATTTATTTATTTTTACTCCTATTTAGGATAACTTCTTTTTATTTTAGATTAAGAGATACTGGAAAAAATGTGGTGCATGAAACTATTATGCCACACATTCTAAGATGATTCCTTATGAACAATACTAGTGATGGCCTACTTAAATGAGGTTGATAACAGAGAATTAATTCAGATGCCTACTGAAATTGAGATTCAAAAGGCAGTATGGGATCTCAATCAGAATGGAGCTCCAGGGCCTGATGGTTTCTCAGGAAAATTTTACAAAAAATGTTGGCATACTGTAGGTAAAGATGTTATAAGTGCAGTTAAAGAATTCTTTATTGGGGTTCCTCCTCCTAAAGGAATATCCAGTTCCTTTGTAACCCTCATTCCTAAAGTTGATAGACCTACTACTTTTGCCGAGTTTAGACCTATATGTTTATCTAATTTCATCAGCAAAGTATGTACTAAAGTGTTGGCCACCAGACTCTTAAAAATTATGCCTAAGATCATATCTGAAGAACAGGCAGGTTTTTTGCAGAACAGGGATATTGCAGATCAAGTTCTGATTGCTCAGGAGATGATTCATGCAATTGATAAGAAAGTTAGGGGGTCCAATGTGGTAGTTAAGCTGGATATGACAAAAGCTTTTGATATGCTCTCTTGGAGATACATAGTGGAGGTCTTAAATAAATTTGGTTTTCACAATCATTTTATTCATCTGGTTGAGGGCCACCTTCAGTCTACCTATCTATCTAGCTATTATTGTAAATGGGGTCCCTCAAGGTTTCTTTCAACCTAAAAGGGGAGTTAAACAAGGAGACCCATTGTCACCTTTTCTATTTATTATTGCTTCTGAGTGGTTCTCTAGAGGTCTGAAGGCTAAGATGGAGGGAGGCAGTATTAAACCTTACTGGATGGGAAACAATGGGTATCCAATTTCTCACCTTGGTTTTGCTGATGATCTGCTCATATTTCTAAACGGGGGTTCCAGATCTTTAAATAACTTTAATAAGTTTATCAAGGATTATCAGGTTGCTTCAGGTCAGACTGTGAACTTACAGAAGAGTTCATTCATATGCGGGAAGCATGCTGCTTCTAGAGCTCATTTGATACATAATTTACTGGGAATGAGGAAAACTGAACTTCCCATGAGATACTTGGGTGTTAACCTGCATAAGGGCATTAACAGAATTCAGTTCTGCAATAATATTATTAAACAGTTTGATGAAAAACTTTCAGCATGGAAACAAAGGAACTTATCTCAAGGAGGAAGGCTTATTCTGGTCAAACATGTCCTGAATTCCATCCCCTTGCACATCTTAGCTGCTGATACTCTTCCAAGGCAAGTAATTAATATTCTAGAAAAGAAAATGGCAGCTTTTATTTGGGGTTCAAGTTATGATCATCATAAACTGCATTGGGCTAGCTGGTCAAGACTTTGTCAACCCACAGAAGAAGGAGGCTGGGGAATTAGGTCTTTATCAACTCTTGAAAAAGCTTTTTCTATGAAGATTTGGTGGAAGTGGAAAACACAAAATTCTTTATGGACCTCTTTCTTTAAAGCTAGATATCCAAGAGATGCTACGGTTACTAAAATTACTGACTCCCCTATTTGGAAAAGACTTGGTAGAATAAACCAAAGTGCTGTGGAATTATGTCATATCAATGAGTCTGGTGGTTTAGTTTGGGATCCTGGTGAGGAGGGTTCTTTTACTCTAGCTTCAGCTTACAATGAATCAAGAGAGACTCTGGCTTCTACCTTCTCAAATAAACATATCTGGCATAAAGATCAGCCTATGCAAATCAAGGTATTCACTTGGAGACTGATTCATAATTGCTTGCCTATTTCGGATACTATGTTGAAATTTCAACTGGTACTAAGGCCATCTATGTGCCCTTTATGCAAAAGTCATCTTGATACTCTTACACACTTGTTTTATCAGTGTAAATTTTCACAAGGAATTTGGGAATATTTCATGGGAATTTTCCAAATTCCTATTCCCAGTGCTATCTATTCTATTCGTCAAGTTTTTATTCAATGGTGGTTGGAAGCAGGAGCTAAAACTTTGGCAGACACTTTTAAACACATTATGCCAGAGGTTATTTGTTGGTTCATATGGAAGTCTTATTCTTCCTATATTTGGGGTTCTGAACCTATTCCTAGCGCGAGGCATATTATCAACCAGATCAAGCTCTATTCACAACGGTGGTCGGCCAATCTTTGCAAGTTCAAGAACAAAAGAGTGGATGATTTTCTCAAGGAAGAGGATTTAATTTATCAAAATTTTAGATTTAGAACTTCTGGAATCCGGATCATCAGATGGAAGAGACCTCAACGTGACTACAAGCTTAACATAGATGCCTCTTTTATACCTGGATATGCCGCTGGAGGTGCCATTCTTCGTGATAATAGGGGGAGATGGTGTGGGCGATTAACTTCAGACTGATGGCCAGTTCGAGTGAAGAGGCAGAGCTTCGAGCTATGATCCAAGCGACGAACTGGGCGATGGAAAAAGGGTACGTTAATTTTCAGGTAGAGAGTGATTCTTATGCTGCGTTGAAGATGATTTCTGAGGAACCGAAGGGGAAATGGAGTTGCCTAATTCTACCTTTTCGTGAGCAAGCAATCCAAAAAGGAATTAATTTCAGTCATACTTTGCGTGAAGGAATTTGGACGGCTCATTCCTTAGCAGATCAGGATTTGATAACGGCCCAGTTCAATTACTTCAGTTCGGTGGATCTTCTTCCGGGCCTGGTCCGAAAATATTATTCTGCAGATTTACTTAGTTACCCGTACCTTAGATATTAATCTTATTTCATGTATTTTATTTTGGGTCAGGTCTAGCCTTCCAAAATGTTTTCTTTTTAGTTGATTTTGCGTATGGACTCCTATATCAATAAAATAACGGCAAATGACTCCCGGCATTTGCCCCACTGATTTTGGTGGTTTGCCTTCTGGGATAAAAAAAAAATACTAGTGATGGCTCGGTGGGTTATATCGAAAACAATTAAGATATTCAGCTTGCTATAATTTACGACTAAGTAAATTATACTACCTCCGCGTTTCTATTTAGTTATCACACTTTCCTTATTTGGTGTATCAAATTAATTGTCTCCTTCCTTTTTTGGAAAGAATCCCACTCAAAAAACAGCTACAGTGCCGCTACAGTACCACTCAAAAACCTCTTACATTTTATAAAGTCTACAATAATTGTCTTAAACTCCGTGAAAAGCAAATTGGTCAACTAATTAGATATGGAGTGAGTAACAATTATTATTTGTGTTGGTTACAAAACAAATATAGAGTGTAAAGTTCGATCACATGTTATGTCACGCCCCAGACCGCAATCCAAGCGCGTGTACAACCGCCGTATAATCAAGTGACGTCACCCGCGAGTCAACCTCACTTGATTACACAAGGCGTTCGAGAAAAATAATCCATCCATACTCAGTAGTAAACATACATAACAACATCACATTTAAACCAATGAATAGCGGAAATATTCAACGGTAAGTCATAAGCCACAACCGGCCAATAACATGGGCATGCAAGCCCCAAAAGAATAGTTTATAACAAATAAAAATATCCATGAGCAATGTTTGGTAATTTGAAATAAACTGAGGAAGCACGAACCACGTCTTCCTTGATTTGATGTCACCCGTAGAAAGGTGCAGGTAGCAAGCCCTAGCTTCAACCTGAAAATGGTGGGGCCCCCCGAAGGGGTCAGTACAAGTACCGAGCGAGTAGCAGGCTAAATATAGAATAACTAGCGTTTCAAGTATAAGACCCAAACATAGGATGATACATATACGTATAGTCCTTCCCCCAAGTTTGAAATACATATTAGTATACATACACTTGGAAATACCCGACCCGGGTCATTGTTTATTTGGGAAAATAATAGTAGCCAATATCCTTGACTTAAATCCCAACCCACCCATATACCTATGAGTGTATAGAACTCCTCCTTGTTCAAATAAATTATCATAAGGACACCGCCCGGTCCTAGATCATTAAATGTAATCTATGAGTTTTGAGGATACACGCCCGATCCTTGGGTACTCCACCCTATAACCGAGTTTTGAGGATACCGCCCGATCCTTGGGTACTCCACCCTATATAACCGAGTTTTGAGGATACCGCCCGATCCTTGGGTACTCCACCCTATATAACCGAGTTTTGTGGATAACCGCCCGATCCTTGGGTACTCCACCCGACCTATGACTTACCACATATCACGCTAGATAGGGTCTATATCATATTTAGTCATTCATAACTAATTCACTACATAAGGCTTATGTATCACAATCCATGCAAATCCATGCAACCATATAAATGTATAATTAACTAATATCAACCGATATTAATTAATCCATTAACCATCGGTCAACGTTGTTGTTGACCGCCATCTCAAATCTTACACTTATTAACTAATTCATCATATAATTAAGTTAATAATATCCATTTGTGCTTCTTTTACTCTTAAAACAAATATGCATATATATATATAATTTCTCATATTATATTCCATGCATAAATAATTAATTCCTTTCATACAAAGCTTAACCCTATTGGCTAATCACATGTTTAAATATCTTTTAAACATTATTATGAATTCATATAACATTTATTTAGGTAATCTCATAATTGACCCAAAAGTTATAAGATATTAAGCCGTCCACTCACCTTGAACTAGCGTATGAAGTTCTACCCTTCTTGGTTGAACTCCGGTGAACCTCCGGCGACTTTTGGTCAACTCCGGCGACAATTCCGGCGACTTTTCCAACTTTGTGAAATCACTTGAAACACCCTTCACAAGTTCCTAACAAGGTTTTATAATCATAAAACCCATGTTAATACCAATAACCTCAAAAAGGTTATTTTCCGGTGAACCGGTCGTTTTGGCTTCTAAGTCCGTTCTTGGACATAGAACCACCTTCCAACCCATAAATCCATACTTATAACATGTGGAATCATACTAAGGGTCCTTTACATGATATATACCTCATATGATAGAAGGAAAATAAAGGAAAAGTTATAATAAGGTTATTACCTTAATTTTACACACTTTTCCTAGCCTTTTTCCTTCTTTAATCCCACTCCTTGGACCCTTCTTGGTTGAGCTCGAGTTGCAGCAATGGAGGAGGGTTGGAGAGCTTTTTCTTCCTCTTTCTTGGGGTCTTGGGCGAGCACAATGAGGAGGAAGGAGGGGGGATGGGTTGTTTTTGTCTCATTTAGCTAATAAGTGAGAGAGGGACCCCTTGGGTGTCTCTCAATGTCTCACCCTCCCATCATGTGTACTATTGGCCTTCCTTTGGTCAATTTGAGTACACAAAAACGTGGGGTGGCCCCCACTCATGTGGGAGGTCATCCCTTTGTGTCCCGGTGTGTACAATTGGTCCCGAAAGTTGTATTTTTCGGACTGTTTTAAATATATTTTATTTTATCGGGTCAAATAAAATATATTATGTGCTCTTACTCATTATTACATGTATAATGAATATACATCCCCCAACTTTAATTCATAAGCCTCCGAAATTCAGTTCGGGCTGTTATCTGATAAATTATCGGTACCGGTAATTGGACCTCTTTTTCCCAATCGGTCAACTCTGCGCCTTTCCACGACCCAAATAAAATATCCACCACTATATAAATATTATCTTGACTAAGATGAATAAAATATGTGGTCTCGGGAGGGTCGGGCGGCCCCCGCTCCCGGTGTGGGTCCCACGTGCAATTTACTATTCACGCGAAAGAAATAATAAAAATTTACAACTTCGTAAATTCATTAATTCTTTAAGAAGGTTCAATACATTATTTACATAAAAGTAAATATATTTGGGGACGGTGTTACAAGTTCACCCCCCCTTATTTGGGATTTCGTCCCCGAAATCCAAGTATTAATCGAAAAGAAATGGGTATTGCTCCCTCATCGAGACCTCGGTCTCCCAAGTTTCTTCTTCGACTCGATCACTCCTCCAAAGAACCTTTACCATAGGAATCTCTTTATTCCTAAGCTTCTTCACTTGTTGACCAACAATCTTCACTGGTTCCACCGCATATTGCAAGTCCTCACGGATCTCTACCGGTGGTTTCTCAAGAATATGAGACGGGTCTCGTATGTACTTCTTGAGCATTGATACATGAAACACGTCATGTATCTTCTCAAGTTCAGGCGTCAACTTGAGTCGGTAAGCCACGGCTCCGATCCTTTCAAGGATCTCAAACGGACCTATGTATCGGGGGTTAAGTTTCCCCCTCGATACGAATCGGATGATGCCCTTCCAAGGAGAAATCCTTAGGAAGACCTCATCACCGACTTCGAACTCCAACGGTCTCCGCCGTTTATCAGCATAACTCTTCTGTCGGTCCTGAGCGGCCTTCAGTCTATCCCGAATGATCCTCACCTTGGCCTTGGTGATCTCAACCAGCTCTATCCCTTCGAGTTTGGCCTCGCCAACCTCGTCCCAACACAACGGTGTTCTGCACTTCCTCCCATACAATGCCTCATATGGAGGCATGCCGATACTTGCCTGATAACTGTTGTTATAGGCAAACTCCACTAGGGCTAAATGTTTGTCCCAACTTCCTTGGAACTCCAAAGCACATGCCCTAAGCATGTCTTCCAAAATCTGTATCACCCGCTCGGACTGTCCATCCGTTTGTGGGTGAAAAGCTGTGCTAAACTTCAGTTTGGTCCCCAAAGATGCTTGAAACTTTGGCCAAAACCGGGATGTGAATCGTGGATCCCTATCCGAGACAATGGATACTGGGACTCCATGTAATCTCACAATCTCCTCCGTGTATAGCTTGGCCAATCTTTCAAGAGGATAAGTAATGTTGATAGGCAGAAAGTGTGCACTCTTGGTGAGCCTATCGACCACTACCCATACTGCATCGTAGTTGTTCACTGTTCGTGGTAGCCCCACCACGAAGTCCATCGTCACGTGTTCCCACTTCCACTCTGGGATAGTAAGTGGTTGCAAAAGCCCTGCCGGGTGCTGATGCTCTGCCTTAACTTGTTGGCAAGTAAGGCATCGACTCACATACTCTGCGATGTCTCTCTTCATACCTGACCACCAGTAACCTTCCTTCAAATCTCGGTACATTTTTGTACCTCCTGGATGCATAGCATAAGCTGAAGAATGAGCCTCCTCAAGTATAGACTTCTGGAGGTCTTCATTCTTGGGTATGCACACACGATCCTTAAACAATAATAGACCGTCATCGCGTACTCGAAAGTTCTCAACAGGCCCCTCAATGATTCGTTCACGAATCTTCTGACACTCCTCGTCAATGGCCTGGCATCTACTGATCTCACCCAGCAATGTAGGTCTGACCTCAAACCTAGCAATGAGCGCCCCGCTCGTGGATACCCCCACGTGTGCCCTCAATGCCTGTAGACATGTGAGTAGCGTCCCCGACGTACTCTTTCTGCTCAGCGCGTCGGCCACTACATTGGCCTTTCCGGGATGATAGTCGATGATCAAGTCATAGTCCTTGATCAACTCCATCCATCTCCTCTGCCTCATATTCAACTCTTTCTGAGTGAATACATACTTCAAGCTCTTATGATCAGTATAAATGTGACACGTCTCCCCGTAGAGATAATGCCTCCAAATCTTCAATGCAAACACTACCGCCCCCAACTCTAGATCGTGAGTAGGGTAGTTCACCTCGTGTTTCCTCAATTGCCTAGAAGCGTAGGCTATCACCTTACCGTTTTGCATCAACACACATCCTAGCCCTTGGATGCTAGCATCGCTATAGATATCATACCCTATCCCCTGCTTGGGTAGGGCAAGAACTGGTGCCTCGGTAAGTCGCTTCTTCAATTCAAGAAACCCTTTCTCACATTTGTCATCCCATATGAACTTAGCCCCCTTCTTGGTGAGCTTCGTCAATGGAGACGCCAATACAGAGAATTTCTCAACGAACTTACGATAGTACCCCGCTAAGCCAAGGAAACTACGTATTTCTTTCACATTCTTGGGTCTCTCCCAGTCGATGATGGCTCTTATCTTGGCGTTGTCCACAGCAACGCCCGAACCTGATATGACATGCCCGAGAAAGCCAATCTCTTTGAGCCAAAATTCACATTTGGAGAACTTGGCAAAGAGTTGTTTTTCTCTAAGTCGTTCAAGTACAAGCCTCAGGTGATGTTCATGCTCCTCCTCGTTCTTGGAGTATATCAAGATGTCATCAATGAATACTATCACAAATTGATCCAAGTATTCACTAAACACTCGGTTCATCAAGTCCATGAATGCCGCCGGTGCGTTGGTTAACCCGAATGACATTACAAGGAACTCATAATGACCATACCTAGTGCGGAATGCGCTCTTAGGTATGTCGCTCTCCTTGATCTTCAACTGATGATACCCCGACCTCAAATCAATCTTCGAGAACACTATTGCCCCCCGAAGTTGGTCAAACAAGTCATCAATCCTCGGTAAGGGATACCTGTTCTTGATTGTGACCTTGTTCAATTGTCGGTAGTCAATACACATTCTTAGTGTACCATCCTTCTTCTTCACGAAGAGTACGGGTGCCCCCCACGGTGAATGACTGGGCCTGATGAATCCGTTGTCCAATAATTCTTGTAGTTGGACCTTCAACTCTTGAAGTTCGGCCGGTGCCATTCGATAAGGAGGAATCGAAATGGGTTTGGTTCCCGGCTCCACTTCAATTACAAATTCGATCTCTCTATCGGGTGGAAGCCCCGGTAGGTCTTTGGGAAAGACATCCGGGTACTTGCACACGACCCGTACATCCTTGATGTCGACTTCTTTCTTCGTATCATCTACCACATAAGCAAGGTATGCGTGACATCCCTTCCTCCTCATCTTTCGTGCTCTCATCACGGATATGATACAAGCATTAGATTTCCCCCGATCTCCCTCGAAACATAGCGTGTTCCCTTGATCATCCTCGAGCTCCAACACCTTGGTGTAGCAATCTACCCGGGCATGGTGTTTCTCGAGCCAATCCATCCCTAGGATTGCATCGAACTCCAACATGCTTAGAGGTACGAAATCACAAGTCAAAGGTTGACCCGTCACTTCTACCTCACACGACGGATAGTAATGATTTCTCTCCACGTCGTCTCCTAACGGTGTGGAGACTAGCAACGTTTGAGTCATAGGTGTCAATGGCACGTCAAAGCCCTCGGCGAACGCCTCACTCACAAATGAGCGTTGTGCCCCGGTATCGATGAGGATCCTCGCACATCTACCATTGATCTTTAATGTTCCTACATTTATACACCATGTAAGATACATTTTCTAATGTTTTTACACATCATTTGGATGTTATTAGGTTTATACAAATGTTTGGAACCAAACGGGGGTCCAAACGTAGAAGAACGGGGCAAAAATCAACTTCCGGGTGTTGGGGGTCCACGCACGGCGTGCCTGGGTGGCAGGCACGGCCGTGCGTGCAACAAACTCACCCTGCTGGCCACTGCCGGCCAGGCACGATGCCAGGCACGGCGTGCCTGCGGCCGTGCCTGGCCAAAAATTCTTCGGACGCCACTGACCTCCAGGCACGACGCCAGGCACGGCGTGCCTGCGGCCGTGCCTGGCCAAAAATTCCTCGGACGCCACTGACTTCCAGGCACGACGCCAGGCACGGCGTGCCTGCGGCCGTGCCTGGCCAAAAATTCTTCGGACGCCACTGACTTCCAGGCACGACGCCAGGCACGGCGTGCCTGCGGCCGTGCCTGGCCAGCAGTGGCTGTTTCCAGCCCGATTCGGCCTAACTCACCCGGTTCGACCCCGGGGTGGCCCGCACTCAAACCCAACGACGTATATGATCAAAGTAAACCTAGAAATACATGGGAATACGCGTATTACCTGCAACGGAGTCCGGGTTTGCTCTCGCATCCGCCTCGGTCATCGCGTAGACTCGTGCTTGGGTCCCGCCTTGGTTTACGGACGCGGAATGACTTGTGGATGCGTTGCCTCTTCCCGTACCGCCGTTTGACGGGCCCGCACGGTTTCTTCCCGTCATGGTCCCTCCCCCAGCTCCCGAGGCACTCTCTTGCATCAATTGAGGGCAATTGGCCTTCATATGGCCCGCATTCCCGCACTTAAAACACCTCGGTGGTTCATTGCACTTCCCAAAGTGTTGTTTTGAGCAATTGGGACATCTAGGTGACCCCGAGTTCTGTGGCCTAGGTCCGTGCCACCTCGCATCCCTATTCTTCTTCGCCGGTGGAGCCGGCGCCTTGAATGGACCACCGCCACCACCACCACCCCCGTGGTTGTTCCTTCGAGAATGATCGGGTGGCCCCGAATTATTCCACTTCCTCTTCTTCGCCTCTTCGGCGTCCCTTGCCTTCCTCTCATTCCACTGGGCCTCTCCAAGCATGCCCTGTTCTACCACCTCACTAAAGGTCATGAGGCGGGAATACGTGGCACGGTCTCGGATGTCCAAGAGTAAGGCATCCCAGAAGTGCTCAGTCATGCGGTCCTCATTGATCGCATACTCCGGTAAGAACCTAGCCAAGGTCCTGAACTCTTGCTCCAGTTGCTTAACTGTGCAACCCTCTTTCTGTTTGAGGTTGGTATACTCCCTCCTTTTCACATTAACCTCGAAATCGGAGTAGTACTGAGCATAAAATTCTTGCTCAAAATTTTCCCATGAGATGTCCCCACGGTATTTCCCTTCTACACCTTCCCACCATGTAGAAGCCATCCCCTCAAGTAGCCGTGAAGCGACAGTTAGCTTCACGTCCGGAGTAATCTGCATGTCTCTCGATGCATCCTTCACCTTCTTGATCCAATCGGCGGCAACGGTAATGTCGCCGGTGCCGTCAAAGGACCTACACCCCAAGGCCCTAGCCTCCTTGAGGTATTTGGAGATTCTTACCACAAAACCTCCTTCATGCCCACCTTGTGGCGCCGCTGGGGTGGCCACGGAAGCTCCCCGACTCCCTTGACCCGAACCACCACGAGAGCCACGCCTTGCTTGGCGCCTAAGGTCTCTCCTCAGCTTTTCTTTTTGATACCACTCAAGCAACTCGCCCATTTGAGCGAACTTGGCATCACTCTCTTCGTCGTCTTCATCGGTGTATGTGTCACCCCCATCATACGGGGTCTCCTCATGCTCCGTTTCCGGAACGTAGGTTGAGTCATAGTCCTCGGTGCTGGTTTCATACACCGAGCTTACATGGCCATCACTCACAGTTTGAGCTTGATGACCTCCACGGCTTCCACGGCCTCCACGGCCTCCTCTTGAACCCCGAGATGCAGCCCGGCTTCCCCTTTGGGATGTTACCGGCGCCTGCCCCCTCGGGTTGTTCCTGGTCCGCATTCGCCTGCCCTCCATTTCTGAAAGAAAAATGGATGAGTCATTAGACTCCTATAAATGTGAATGTCAATTGACGGAAGAACGCTACAGACACGTATTGGCCCAAGTCACCACCATACCAATTGTTAAGGGTACCGTCTTAACAATTAGAGGCCTTGCAACTTAAGCTCCAATAGTCCCATAAACGTCAAAATACAATGCCCATGGTTTTCGGTAAAAACTCTTTTGTAAAATCTCATGTGAGAGGTTGATTATAAAGTTTAGAACTGAGATGGCTCTGATACCACTTAATTGTCACGCCCCAGACCGCAATCCAAGCGCGTGTACAACCGCCGTATAATCAAGTGACGTCACCCGCGAGTCAACCTCACTTGATTACACAAGGCGTTCGAGAAAAATAATCCATCCATACTCAGTAGTAAACATACATAACAACATCACATTTAAACCAATGAATAGCGGAAATATTCAACGGTAAGTCATAAGCCACAACCGGCCAATAACATGGGCATGCAAGCCCCAAAAGAATAGTTTATAACAAATAAAAATATCCATGAGCAATGTTTGGTAATTTGAAATAAACTGAGGAAGCACGAACCACGTCTTCCTTGATTTGATGTCACCCGTAGAAAGGTGCAGGTAGCAAGCCCTAGCTTCAACCTGAAAATGGTGGGGCCCCCCGAAGGGGTCAGTACAAGTACCGAGCGAGTAGCAGGCTAAATATAGAATAACTAGCGTTTCAAGTATAAGACCCAAACATAGGATGATACATATACGTATAGTCCTTCCCCCAAGTTTGAAATACATATTAGTATACATACACTTGGAAATACCCGACCCGTAGGTCATTGTTTATTTGGGAAAATAATAGTAGCCAATATCCTTGACTTAAATCCCAACCCACCCATATACCTATGAGTGTATAGAACTCCTCCTTGTTCAAATAAATTATCATAAGGACACCGCCCGGTCCTAGATCATTAAATGTAATCTATGAGTTTTGAGGATACACGCCCGATCCTTGGGTACTCCACCCTATAACCGAGTTTTGAGGATACCGCCCGATCCTTGGGTACTCCACCCTATATAACCGAGTTTTGAGGATACCGCCCGATCCTTGGGTACTCCACCCTATATAACCGAGTTTTGAGGATAACCGCCCGATCCTTGGGTACTCCACCCGACCTATGACTTACCACATATCACGCTAGATAGGGTCTATATCATATTTAGTCATTCATAACTAATTCACTACATAAGGCTTATGTATCACAATCCATGCAAATCCATGCAACCATATAAATGTATAATTAACTAATATCAACCGATATTAATTAATCCATTAACCATCGGTCAACGTTGTTGTTGACCGCCATCTCAAATCTTACACTTATTAACTAATTCATCATATAATTAAGTTAATAATATCCATTTGTGCTTCTTTTACTCTTAAAACAAATATGCATATATATATATAATTTCTCATATTATATTCCATGCATAAATAATTAATTCCTTTCATACAAAGCTTAACCCTATTGGCTAATCACATGTTTAAATATCTTTTAAACATTATTATGAATTCATATAACATTTATTTAGGTAATCTCATAATTGACCCAAAAGTTATAAGATATTAAGCCGTCCACTCACCTTGAACTAGCGTATGAAGTTCTACCCTTCTTGGTTGAACTCCGGTGAACCTCCGGCGACTTTTGGTCAACTCCGGCGACAATTCCGGCGACTTTTCCAACTTTGTGAAATCACTTGAAACACCCTTCACAAGTTCCTAACAAGGTTTTATAATCATAAAACCCATGTTAATACCAATAACCTCAAAAAGGTTATTTTCCGGTGAACCGGTCGTTTTGGCTTCTAAGTCCGTTCTTGGACATAGAACCACCTTCCAACCCATAAATCCATACTTATAACATGTGGAATCATACTAAGGGTCCTTTACATGATATATACCTCATATGATAGAAGGAAAATAAAGGAAAAGTTATAATAAGGTTATTACCTTAATTTTACACACTTTTCCTAGCCTTTTTCCTTCTTTAATCCCACTCCTTGGACCCTTCTTGGTTGAGCTCGAGTTGCAGCAATGGAGGAGGGTTGGAGAGCTTTTTCTTCCTCTTTCTTGGGGTCTTGGGCGAGCACAATGAGGAGGAAGGAGGGGGGATGGGTTGTTTTTGTCTCATTTAGCTAATAAGTGAGAGAGGGACCCCTTGGGTGTCTCTCAATGTCTCACCCTCCCATCATGTGTACTATTGGCCTTCCTTTGGTCAATTTGAGTACACAAAAACGTGGGGTGGCCCCCACTCATGTGGGAGGTCATCCCTTTGTGTCCCGGTGTGTACAATTGGTCCCGAAAGTTGTATTTTTCGGACTGTTTTAAATATATTTTATTTTATCGGGTCAAATAAAATATATTATGTGCTCTTACTCATTATTACATGTATAATGAATATACATCCCCCAACTTTAATTCATAAGCCTCCGAAATTCAGTTCGGGCTGTTATCTGATAAATTATCGGTACCGGTAATTGGACCTCTTTTTCCCAATCGGTCAACTCTGCGCCTTTCCACGACCCAAATAAAATATCCACCACTATATAAATATTATCTTGACTAAGATGAATAAAATATGTGGTCTCGGGAGGGTCGGGCGGCCCCCGCTCCCGGTGTGGGTCCCACGTGCAATTTACTATTCACGCGAAAGAAATAATAAAAATTTACAACTTCGTAAATTCATTAATTCTTTAAGAAGGTTCAATACATTATTTACATAAAAGTAAATATATTTGGGGACGGTGTTACATGTTATGTGCCCCAAATTAGAGTTATATTACTAGGCATACTAGCACTAGTATATTATAAGGAAACTGTTGGATAAGGTTATATATATATATAAGAAAAGAAGAAATAGCTCATAGAAGTACCATTTTGCCCTCAAATAATCCACGTGTTATCTTCCTACGAATCCCACTTCTTTCTCAATTTCTGCCACGTGGTTTCATGCCTTTTTTCCTAATAAATAAATGAACTAATTCACACAACTTAAAAAACGCCGAACAACAATCGCAGCCAGTTACATTCTATAATTTTCTTTTTAATCAGTCTAATTATATTTAACAATTCTAAAAATCTAATCAATCATACTCCATGTTGCAACTCTACGAGTCTACAATTCAGTTTTTCACTTTTTTCTTTGACAAAGTTTTTCACTTTTTGTAGGTTTATAAAATTCAGTCACCGAAATTTACTTCTTTGAATTTTTGAGTTTTCTTTTTTTATTAATCAATACAAATTATCAATCATTTGCCAAAAAATTAGAGTACTCGCTTTGCTAGAATAATGTTTAACTCTAAAATTAATTTAAATATGAAAATTAATTTTTCCTAACATTCTCTTCATTTAATCTTTATTATATGAGGTTATAGTTTATGATAATAGCTTATTATACTCCTATATTTGAAAAATGTAAAATCCTAAAAACAAAATTAACATTTAATTAGATTACGATTAAAAAATATATGCATCAACTGTTCTTCCCTGTGTTATTTAAAAATATAAAAATAAATCAGAATTCATAATTTTTATTATATTTCATACGGCACCAATATTACTTATATAAAATAAAAAACTGATTTAACACTTTTTAAAAACTTCTATTTAGGTTTATATATAAGATAATCGGATCAATACTTGAGCAGGAGCATTTCTTCTCTCATATGTAGCGTTTTTAAGTATAAGAATATAACTTTTGTATTTGTACACCGATTCTTACAAAAATATATATCACAATTCACAAAAAAAAGCACAAAAAAGGATATGTTTTTTAGAGTGTTGAATTTGTTTAATTGTTACGAAAAATTTATAAAAAATATCCCTTTCTATTATATTTCATATATAAATATAAAAAAATTAATACTTCAAAATCATCCGTTTAGTGAAGTGATATAACTTTTTATTTGTACAAATAAAAGTTGAGCGGGAGAATTATCTCTGTCATATGTAATGCTTTTAGGTATAAATAGGACTGATTATTGAGCAGTATAATTTTCTCTCTCATATGTAGTGTTTTAAGGCACAAAATAAGCGAACTAATAGTTGAGCAGGGGGATATCTACAAATACTAAATTTATTTGAGAAAACTTTCTTAAAGAGTAAAATCTAATTTATTTGATGCTTAAAAAATCATCAATCGAAAATCTAATTACTTCTAATAAAATAAAACTTTGAGTTTGTCTATTTAGTTTTGTTTTGAGTTGGTCTAAATTGAGGGCCAAGAGTAATTTCAATTCATCAACTCTATGAATAATAAAAATCTAATGTTATTTTCATTTTTTATTCTACTCCCTTCATTATACTATTGCAAACCTTATTCCTTCCTATTATAATGTGACTTGAGAATAAAAAACTAGCAAATGAAAATGATAAACACATTGAGCGCTAAAAAATAATATTGTTATTGGGTGAAATTACATATGTGTGGTAGATGTGGGAGAATTTTCTCTCTCATATACAGTGCTTTTAGGTATAAGATAAGCCGACTAAAATTGAAAGGGTTAATGTTTTCTCTCATATATTGTGTTTTTAGGTATAAGATAAGATAAGCGGCTAAAAATTGGGCGGCAGAATTTTTTCTCTCATTTGTAATGCTTTTAAATATAAAATAAGTCGGCTAACAATTGAGCCAAGAAATTTATATCTCATATGTAATGCTTTTAGGTATACGATTTCGGGTATAAGAAGATTAGGTCGTAATTAAGGAAACTAACAATTGAGTGAAAAAAATTTCTCTATCATATATAGTGCTATTAGATATCAAATAAGCCATCTAACAATTGAGCATGAAAACTTTCTTTCTCATATGTAATACTTTTAGATATTACAAGATATGCGTTCTAACAATTGAATGGAAGAATTTTCTCTCTCATGTGTAGTTTCTTTAAGTATAAGATAAGTCGGCTAAGAAGTGAGGAGAAGTATTTACTCTGTCATATGTTGTGCTTAAAGGAATAAGGCAAGTCGACTAACAATTGATTGAGAGATCCTTCTCTCTATATGTAGTGGTTTTAGGTATAAGAAGCTAAAAAGATAACACTGCTAACGTTTGAGCACGAGAATTTCTTTCTCTGTGTAGTGCTATTTAGTATAAGGTAAGACAAGTCATCTAACAATTGAGCGGAGGAGTTTTTACTCTCATATATTGTGCTTTTAGATATAAGAAATATCATGTCATAAACCATCTAACAATTGAGTAAGAGATTTCTCTCTCTCAATAGCAGTGCTTTTAGGTATAAAATAATTCAACTAACAATTGAGATAGAGAGACTTTTATCTATCAAATATAGTACTTTTAGGTAAAAGACAAGCCGGGTAACAATTGAGCGAGAGAGAATTTTCTCCCTCATATGTAGTGCTTTTAGGTATAAGAAGATCTACTTGCTAACAATTGAATTCAATAATTTTCTCTTTTATATATAGTTCTTTTAAGTATAAGATATGATTGCTAACAATTGAGCGGAAGAATTATTCTCTCTCATATGTACTGCTTTTAGGTATAAGGCAAGGTGGCTAACAATTGAGCAGGGTGACTTTATCTCTCCTATATGTAAGGGTTTTAGGTATAAAATAATAAGCTTGCTAATAATAGAGAGGGATAACTATTTCTCTCATATGTAGTTCTTTTTAAGTATAAGATAGTCTAGCTAACAATTGAGCGAGAAATTTTTCTCTCCCATATGTAGTATTTTCAAGTATAACATAAGCTAGGTAACAATTGAACTTGTTGGGATATATTATCCCGGCCTATTACTGTTCAGGAGCCCAAGACATTATCCAGTACGGAGGCCGAGCAGCTAGGCCCATTTCGGCCCATTAGGCCCAATATTGGCCCGTTTGGCCCATTAGGGTGGAGAGCACCCTTTCCCCTTTGTCTATAAATAGGGAGCTTAGCCTCCATGTAAAGGATGGCTTCCTTCTTCCTTCTTCCTCTAGAATAGCTTACAAGACTCCATTAATGGGAGCTCGAAATGTATTATGTAATTGTGAGGAGAGTCCTAATGAGAATGAGAGGGCTTGGATATTAGCCTAAAAAGTCCCGTGGTTTTCTTCCTTTCGGGTTTCCACGTAAAAACTGAGTGTTCATACATATATTTACTATATCGTGTTGGATTAAACTCAACAGAACTGGAGAATTTTCTCTCACATATATAGTGTTCTTAGATATAACAAGATAAGTTTGCTAATAATTCAGCGGGAAAATTCTCTCTTTCATTATTTATTAGAAGATAAATTTGCTAACAATTTAGCGGAAAAATTCTCATATAAGTAATTCTTTTAAGCATAAGATAAACCGGCTAACAATTAAGTCGTAGAGTTTTGTTTCTCATGTGTAGTGCCTTTAGCTGTAAGTTTCATGTAACAATTGAGTGAAAACTTTCTCTTATATGTAATCTTTTTTGTATGAGACTAGCTAACTGGAATTTTTTTTACTCTCATATGTAGTGCTTTTAGGCATAACATAAGCCGACTAACAATTGAACAGGAGAATATTCTCTCTCATATGTAGTGTTTCTAGATATAACAAGATAAGTTTACTAATAATTAAGCGGGAAAATTTTCTCTATCTTATGTAGTCTCTTATGTATTAGAAGATAAACTTGCTAACAATTGAGCGAGTAAATTATCAAATAAGTAGTTCTTTTAAGTACAAGATAAGCCGGCGAACAATTAAGCAGATGAGTGTTGTCTACCATACGTTATGCTTTCAGGTATAAGTTAATCCGACTAACAATTGAGTGAAAACTTTTCTCTCATATGTAGTTTTTTTTTGTGTTAGACTAGCTAACAATTGAGCGGGAGAGTTTTTCTCACATATGTAGTGCATTTAGGTATAATAAGTCGGATAACAATTGAACGATTTTTTATCTCTCATATGTAGTCTTTTATGTATTAGTAGAAGATAAACTTGCTAACAATTGAAGAATGAAATTATCATATAAGTAGGTCTTTTAAGTATAAGATAAGCCGGCTAACAATTAAGCAATAGGGTTTTGTCTCTCATACGTAGTGCTTTCAGGTATAAGTGAATCCGGCTAACACTTGAGTGAAAACTTTTCTCTCATATGTAGTTCTTTTTTGTATAAGACTAGCTAACAATTGAGCGAGAAAGTTTTTCTCACATATGTATTGCTTTTAGGTATAATAA